AGGCCGGGCTGAGGGACGCCCCCCTCCCCCGAGTGCACAAATTTTTGTGCACCAGGCCTCTAGTTATAATATAATGGCCATTATAAGTATAGCACTTTCCTGAGTTCTGTGAGTTACTCTAGTTAATTATTGAATCTGAAGAGGTTGTGGGAAATTCTGCCTGAATTTGTAGTAGCCAGACTCTGCCATAATTTTTAATCTCTTGAGTTATTTTTTAGATTTTTCCTCTTCCATCCTTTCCATCTTGGCTGAAAAAATCTGTTTTGTTTTTTTTTTTTAGCTCTTTATATGTAGAGCTGCTTTTTTTGGATGAGTATGTCAGTCACTGTGCTGTAGATTTTATGCATATTTTACTTAATCTTCATGGCAACCCCATGAGTTAGGCTGTATTTTCAGATTTTACATGGAGCTTGGAGAGATCATTTGTGCACAGCTAGTAAATGGCAAACTGGAATTTGCATCCCTGTCTGACTCCAAAGCTGTTATTTTGTACTGTCTCTTCCACCCCACTCTCCATCATAACTAGTTCTTCCTAGTTATGGCTTTGTTTTTTGTTGTTGTTTTATTTTTTTGCTTTTGAATCTGATATCTATAGCCCATTCACTCTTTTCTAAATTACACAGGCATTTGAGTATGCTTGCTCATGTTCACTCATCCTCTTTGTCTCCATCCCCCTTTCTCTTTTCCCTTTTCTCTTCCTCTCACTCTTCTTCCCACTCCATTCATTCATGCATACACACTTAATATTTGACTCTATGAAATTCTTATTATCTTTCATTGAAATGCTTTAAAAATTTAGTTTCACTGTAATATAGAAAACTCTGTACCTTTGTCTGAGGTCATTGAATTCCTAGTCACTATTTTGGATAAGAATCATCAATCTATCTGAAGTTCTAACTGATGCTCAGAATTGTAGTTCTACACCAAATTCTGCCATTAGCTTAATCTGGAGTTTTAGGCAGGTCACTTCTCTTTGAGTGTTGTTTTCATGTCTTTAAAGTAGAAATGACTAGATTTGGGATTATAAAGAGGAAAGAGTTTAAAAAATATGAAAAATTATTATGAATGTTCCCAATTTATTATTAGCCTTTAGTAGACCCTCCTTATCTTCAGTCTGTAACTGATTGCTGCTGAAAAGGGAAAATCAGTTTATATCCCAGATGATACTTGGTTGTTCAGCTATATTTCAGGAAGAGAGACTTGATTACTGGATTCCTTTATAGACATGTGGCATTTGGGTGGACAAAAATGGATGTGGTCCATTAAAAATGAAGAGCATTTTGCCCTGGGTGGGTATCTCATTTGTAGCATCGTCCTGATACACCAACATTGTGGGTTCGATCCCCAGTCAGAGCTCATACGAGAAGCAACCAATGAATGCATAAATAGGTGGAACAATAAATAGATGTTTCTCTCTCTGTCTTTCTCTCTCTCAAATAATTTTATTCTTTTAAATGAAGAACATTTTTTTTGCTTGTTCTACCATTTGATTACCTGAATAAAGTGGACTTTCAACTATTTGTCTCCAGAAGAGTCAGAGAATCAGCAGGGGTTTGAGATCTCAATAATTTCTGTTGTAATAAATAGAGCCTGTGTGAAATGGCACTGTATTGTGATTACAACATATGGCCCATTTTGAAATTTGCCAGGGTATGTGGGTGGGGCCCTACAGAAAGGTTAAGTGCTAGCGTATACCCCTTATGTTTTTACTTGATTGTCTATTGCCATTATAGGAATGGAATGCGAGAAACAAAGATTCTATCCGAAGAGCAGTCGAGCACAGCAATGTGGTCATCAATCTTGTTGGGCGAGACTGGGAAACCAAGTAAGTCTTGACTCATTTCTTTGTGTAAGCTGTCTTAGGGTTCAGTAGACACTTATTGGGCACTGTTTGTATGTTAAGCATTGTTGTGATGACATTTTAAATTAGTTCATCAATAAGCAACCATTTACATACTAAGCATTTGCACACACATCCCTTAGGGGATTTAGTTGCATAAGTTTGGTATAAATAAGCAGTGTGATGTGCGGCCCATAAGAAGTATGTATGGATTGTGTCAGTGTGGTCAGTGTGGTCCGTGTCATCAACTGGACAGGATGACCAATACTGGTCCTGTGCTTGGATCTTTCCAGCTGGGATGGGGTTTGGTAGGAGAATTTTGCCTGTTCCACTGTCAACAAGGTGACCATTGGGTTTTCCAGTGTGGCAATGTTCTAGATCTGTTCTCCATATTGTTAACTGAAGATGGCATGAGTACTGGTTTGAACAGTTCTTGTGTGAGTTGTTTATCAACAACTATTGTTTAAAACCTGTAGTTCCGCAAAACTTTGTTCAGACCTGTTTTTGTAGCATTTACTAAAGTTTGACTTAGATTTGTTTATATATGTCTACCTCATCAAATGCTCTTAAGTTCTTTGATGACTTGGAGGGTCTTAGTCAGCATTATACCTACCATAGTGACTAACACAGTGTAGAACAGAGTAAGCATTTAGTTAATGTTGTTGGATTAAACTGGTGACTGTCTGTTCTTTTTAACCCTGAGAGAAACAAAGGTCTAGAATAAAAAGTGATTTCCCTGGTCCCAGTGCTTTCCTCATCCCTACCCAAACAGTGCAGCCAGATTTTTTTCAAGGCCCTCAGCCTTGGAATTCATTGAGGACACAGAACATTATGCTGATTTGTAACATTAGTAAACCTTGAATTATATATATAGTAATAAACAGTGAGCAGTAAAATAAAAGTAAGTTTCATTTTGGGTGAAATCATTGCTGTTTTACAGTTCAGTTATTATGAATTCTAGCACTAGTATGAAAATCAGACAGAAAGCTTTGAAATCCTGAGTTAAGTGTTCTTAGCAGATCCCATTTTCTTTTCTTCTAGAAACTTTGATTTTGAGGATGTTTTTGTGAAAATTCCCCAAGCAATTGCTCAGGTGTCCAAGGAAGCTGGAGTTGAAAAACTTATTCACATTTCACATCTGAATGCCGATATTAAAAGTACTTCTAGATATCTGAGAAATAAGGTAAGTAACAAGTTGATTTGGGAAGTGATTCACAGAGCTGGAGTTTCCTGGCCCCTTTAAAACATGAATTAAGTTTTTACTCAAGGTTTCTCATCGACATATCCAGGATTAAAAGGGGTTTTTAATCCTCCATACCAGAATTAGATTTATGTGTGAGGGAGCGTGTGCATGTGCATTGTGTTCTGCCATTTTGGTCGAGTGCCTTCTATTTGTAGGGAACTATGCTAAGGGGCTTCAAAGATGGATAGACTATATTATTACCCTCTAAAATGCAGGTTCTTGGGTCATAGTAGAATTACACAGTAAACAAAAATGGTAGAGTATGACTCCTGCCTGAAAGAATCTTACCTGTGTCACCTACCAAGGTTACATGATCATCTTTTTTTCTCAAACCCCTTGTATAGTTATGACCTTGTGCTACATCTGAAGGGTTGATATGAAGACTGAGAATGACCAGAGGTCCTTGACAGTGGCTCCAACTTTTTGACCCACTGCATTCCTTTATTGAACAAATTGTTTATGAAGCATCTACTATGTGCTACATTGTATGAGGCATTGGAGATATAGGAGTAAATAACACAGACATGGTCCATTGAATTAGGCATTGGAGATATAGGAGTAAATAAAACAGACATGGTCTTAGCGTTTAGCCCATATCTAGTTTCTAGTTCATTAAGGAAAATAATTCCCGGTGTACCAGGTATTACAAAATAGCGAACTGCTGTAGGAGCCTATAATGGAGGAGAGAGGGCGCTTTAAATTACTAGCATCAGAAGATTCAGCGTAAACTGTCTTAAACAAAGGGGAATTTATAGGTTCACATATCTGAAAAAGCCAGCAGTAGGAAACCTTAGCCACATTGCTGCCAAGGTTCATCAGGGCTTCAGCTTTGTTTCTCTGTGATTCTGTGTGTGTGTGTGTGTGTGTGTGTGTTTCGTACTCACAAAACTGCCTGACAGCACCCTAGGCTTCATATTTTCATACTACACTAGAGAGAGAAAGAGAAAGTTCACACTGCCTGCCTCTGCCCTGGCATTTATAGAATCATCTGAATTCATGATTGTTTGGAAGCGACAGGGCAGGGGAAGTTAGCGGTGAGAAAGAGGGAAGAGTCAAATATGTCCAGCTCTTTGGCTTAAACCACTGGGTGGACAGTGGTGCTATTGAATGAGATGAGAAACATTTGAGACTAAGCTTTAGGGCAGTGGTTCTTGACCTTAGCTACACATTAGAATCACTGAGGGAGCTTTGAAAAATCCTGATGCCCAAGCCACACTGAGACCAATTCAAATAGAATCTATTGGAATACAATTTGGCATCAGCATTTTTAAACTCTCCCTAGGTAATTTCAGTGTGCAGCAAAGATTGAGAAATACAATTTCTGGAGAATGGTAGAGGATGATTCAGTTTTAGACGTGGGTAGCATTTCAGATGTGTGTCAATCATCCAGGTAATGTGGATGAATGGGATTTATGATCCTGCAGCTCAGAAGAGAGGTCTGGTTCGAGGCATAAATTAGGGAGTCACCAGCATTTGTTGATAATTGAAGTAGTTGGAGGGGATAAGATGACCTAGTGTGGAAACATGGATTGAGAAGAGAGCTTTGGACTGGTCCCAGAGGAATACCAGTGATTAGTGGTCTGGTAGATGAGGACTTGGTAGTCCTCATCAAAACAAACAAAAGACTTAGAGCAGGGGTGGGCAAACTTTTTGACTCGAGGGCCACAATGGGTTCTTAAACTGGACCGGAGGGCCGGAACAAAAGCATGGATGGAGTGTTTGTGTGAACTAATATAAATTCAAAGTAAACATCATTACATAAAAGGGTACGGTCTTTTTTTTTTTTAGTTTTATTCATTTCAAACGGGCCAGATCCGGTCCGCGGGCCGTAGTTGGAAAATTATTTTTCTTTTAAGGTAGAAGATCTTTGTTTAAAAGACATTGTTTTAAATGCTGGTGGGATGGTGCTGGTAAAGAGACTGAGACTGAAGATACAGGAGAGAGAAAATGGGGCAGGTTCCTGAGAAAGTTAAAGGAGGTGAGCTCCAAAGCATTGGTGGTGGCACTGCTCCTCTGATGTGGTGAGAAAGAAGGAGAAAATGTTGGTTCATGCACCTCAGTTTGTAGATTAAGTGCTGAGAACTGAGATGGTTTTTTTCCTGCGGTATATCTTCTCTTTGCATTAACAGGTAATGTCATTTACTGGAAGGGAAAGGAAAATAAAGGAGAAATTTGAATAGAATAGAAAATGTTTGAAATTGTCACATGGGAGAGTAAAGTAATTATAAGAAAACACTATATGTGGGAAATGTTAAGGACCCAGTTAAAACTGGTGAATTGACAGTCATGGGTCACTTAGAATTACATTCTGAGAAATGCGTTGTTATGCCATTTTGTCTTACGAACATTGTAGAGTGCACCTATACAAACCTAGATGGTATAGCCTATTGCTCTCAAGGCTACAAGCCTGTACAGCATGTTACTGTACAAACACACAAGATTAAATCAAGAACAAGTGAAAATATAAGTAGAAAGAGTACACATTAAAATAAAAATATAGTATAGTAAATATATAAATAACAGTTTTTTGTTATCATTATCAAGTATTATGGACTGTACATAATTGTATATACTATTTTATATGACAGGCAGTGCAGTAGGTTTGTTTACATCAGCATCACCACAAACATGTGAGTAATGCATTGCACTAAGTTGTTAAGATGGCTACCCCATCTCTAGACGATGGGAATTTTTTTTAGCTCCATTGTGATCTTAGGGGGCTTAGTGTATGTGATCTGTTGCTGACCAAAGTGCTATGTGCGCATGACTGTATAGTGGTACCAATTTCGCATTTTTATTTATTTAATTTCTTCCAACTCTGAAGGCAGAAGGAGTTCATGGCTCAGAGGAGGAGAGTGATGGGGTTCTCCCAGGGTTGGTATTTTGCCTAGTGGGTGGAGTAGTGGACAAAATGACAAGGCATTTTACAGTATTGGTAAGAGAGTGATTGAGAAGTTGGACTGTGGAATCTAATCAGAGACAAAGGATGTTTGGAGGGGTTGATATAGAGGAAAGCAGAATCAGTGGACTAGAGTTTCTGAAAAGGTTGAGAAACAGATTATGTCAGGAATAGAAAAGCAAGAACAAGCAGGCTGGGAGTGTAGGAAATTGTTCTCTGAGAGGAAGGTGTCTTCATTTAGTTTCAGAAGAAGGGCACTTCCAGTTGTTGATATGGTCTGTGTCCTGACCGAGTTGAGAGTGCAGAGGTGGACTGAAGAGGTGGTTATTGGAGTTGAGAAGCTCAAGAAACAGAGATGCAAGTCCACTTGGACATTGATGTCACCCACAGTGGTGGTGTAGGTGGAAAGAAAATTGGGGTGGAAAAGAAGATTGATATCTGCATTGAGCAAGAGACCTTGTCTAGGAGGTGAATAGATGACAATAAGTGAGGACAGGAAGATTAAGGACCTACCTGGCCAACCACACAGCTCTTTCTCTGGCAGGATGCTAAGTTGTTGACACAAACCAGAGAAACTGTAATTAGAAGGGAAAATGGAGGCTAGAAAAATTCTACTCTGATTTTTCTCCTTCTGTGTAAGCTTCCCTATAATAATTATGAGAAGAAATCCAATAAGAGCTATAAGAGACAGGGACTTTTTTTTATGTGTGATTTTAAAAAATTCTGTATAATTGAGATTTATGAACAGTACCATTACCTTAATCTGGAGGAACATATGACCTTTGAAATATAAGTAGTGTCCCAATAGTGAAAAAAATGGATGCTTTTTTTTTTACTCATCTCAGAACTCTGTTTGTTTGGTTCCTTTAGGCTGTTGGAGAGAAAGAAGTGAGAGATGCATTTCCAGAAGCCATTATCATAAAGCCTTCAGACATCTTTGGACGAGAGGATAGATACCTCAATTATTTTGCAAGTGTGTATTCTTTCTTAACTAGGGGCCCAATGCATGAATTTGTGCACCTTGAAAGGAACTGTGGGCCCTGAGGCTGCAGTGGGCATAGGAGCGGGTCTTGGCCCATCCTCTGCACTACCGCCCAGCCTCTCCTGCCACGGCCCCCGGTCACCTGTCTGCCGGTCCCCTGTCTGCCGCAACCCCACTCCCGCTGCCGCTCCCATGTGTTGCCATCAGAGCTCACACTTGCTGAGCAGGGGGAGGTGGAGAAGCCCTCAGGGGCTATTGGGGCCGGCAGCTGCTGCTCACACCCACTGACAGTGCCGAGCAATCTGGACTGGCACCGGGCGCTGGCAGTGGGTGTGAGCAGCGGCTCTGGTACCAGCAGCGGGTGCGAGTGGGGCCCAAGCCGGCAGCAGGTGTGAGCAGTGGTTGCCGGCCCCAATAACGCCTCAGGAGCAGGGGGAGGTAGAGAAGCCCTGAGGGTTGATTGGGGCCAGCAGCCTCCGCTCACACCTGCTGGCAAACACTAATCTTTTAACTATTTCCATAGTTTTGCCTTTTCCAGAATATTATATAGTAGGAATCATACAGTTTGTAGCCTTTTCATATTGGCTTCTTTCTACCTTTTTGCTGTTGTGAATAATGCTGTTTTGAACATGGGTATACAGATATCTCTTTGAGACCCTGCTTTCAATTTGGGGGGTATATATCCAGAAGTGGAATTGCTAGATCATAGGGTAATTCTATTTTTAATTTTTTTAGGAACTGCCACACTATTTTCCATAGTGGCTATACTAGTTTACATTTCTAAGTACACAAGGTTCCAATTTTTCTCTTTTTTCATCAACACTTGTTATTTTCTGTTGTTTTTTTAATAGTAGTATGAGGGCCCTGACCGGTTTGGCTCAGTGGATAGAGCGTCGGCCCGCGGACTGAAAGGTCCCAGGTTCGATTCCGGTCAAGGGCATGTACCTTGGTTTCGGGCACATCCCCAGTAGGGAGTGTGCAGGAGGCAGCTGAATCGATGTTTCTCTCTCATCGATGTTTCTAACTATCCCTCTCCTTCTCCCTTCCTCTCTGTAAAAAAAAAAATCAATAAAATATTTAAAAAAAATAGTAGTATGAGGTAATATCTCATGTTTTTGATTTGCATTTCTCTAATGATTAGTGATATTCAGCATATTTTCTTGTGCTTAAGATATATAAGCTTTATATATCTTATTTGCAGAAATCCCTATTCATGTCTTTACTCAACCTTTAATTTGTTATTGTTGAATGGTGGGAGCGTTCTATATATTGTGAATAGTGACACCTAATTAGATATAGGATTTGCAGATATTTACTTTTATTCCTTAGGTTACACTCAGTTAATTTTCACTCAGTTAATTGTGTCCTTTAATGCACAGAAGCTTTTAATTTTGATATAGTCTGATTTATCTATTTTTCCTTTTGTTGCTAATGCTTTTGTTGTCATATTCAAGAAATCATTGCTAAGTCCCATTTCATGAAGCTATGTTTTCTCTTGAGGATGTTTAGATCTTTGATCCATTTTTATTTAATTTTTCTATATGATGTAAGGCAGTGGTTCTCAACCTTGGCTGCACATTAGAATCACCTGGGAATCTTTTTAAAATCCTGATTTCTGCGCCTCATCCTCCAGAAATTCTGTGTCTTTGTTATGGGGTGAGGCCACAACATTAGTAACAAAGAAACAGAATTTCCGGAGGATGAGGCCCAGAAATCAGGATTTTAAAAAGATTCCCAGGTGATTCTAATGTGCAGCCAAGGTTGAGAACCACTGCTCTAGAGTTTGTGATTAACAGATTTTTTTTAGCGCGGCAGGGAGAACCAGTGTTTGATACCAGTTGGTACAGTGGGGCCTTGACTTACGAGTGTCCCGACTAACGAGTTTTTTGAGATACCAGCTGTCTCTCGGCCGATTTTTTGCATTGAGTTGATAGAGTAATTTGAGTTAATGAGCTCCTTAACGAGCTCGGTCTCAGAACAAATTAAACTCATAAGTCAAGGCCCCACAGTATGTGGATATCCAGTTTACCTGGCACCATTTGTTGGAAAGACTTCATCTCCCCATTGAATGGTCTTGACACCTTGGCAAAAATGATTTGGCCATATATACAAGGGCTATTTCTCTCTATTCTATTCCTTTGGTTTATATGCCTGTCATTATGTCACTGTTTTGATCACCATACACTGTTTTGATTACTATAGCTTTGTCATCAGTTTTAAAATCAGGAAGTGTGAGAACCCCAACTTTGTTTTTCTTTTTCAAGATAGTTTTAGCTATTCAGAGTTCCTTAAGATTCCATATGAATTTTAAGATGGAATTTTCTCTATTTCTGTGAAAACACCATTGAGATTTTGATTGGGTTTGCATTAAATTTGTAGGATTGCTTAGGGTACTATTGATATTTTTTTTCCCTTTTTTGGTTAATCCTTGCCCAAGGATATTTTTCCATTGATTTTTAGGGAGAGTAGAAGAGAAAGGGAAAGACAGAGAAACATTGATGTGTGAGAAACATATCAATTGGTTGCCTCTAGCACAAGCCCCACCCAGGCCAGGGGGTACGTGACCTTGACAAGAATTGAACCTGGGAATCTTTGGTCCACAGTCTGATGCTCTATCCACTGAGCTAAACCAGCTAGGGCACTATTGATACTGTAATAGTATTGTCTTCTAATTCACAAACATGGGATGTCTTTTCATTCATTTGTGTCTTTAAATATTTTTGGTAATATTTCATAGTTTCCATTTTGCAGGTCTTTAGCCAACATGGTTAAGTTTTTCCTAAGTATTTTAATTCTTTTTCTGATGCCCTTATAAATAATTTCTATTTATAAAAATTTTTTGAAAAGCTTTTTTTTACCTTTACATTTAATCCATTTGGCATTTGATTTGTTTTGGTTTATGGTGAGATGTGAACCATTTCTTTTTTTCCCCAAGTAGTATTGTCTCAGCACCATACATTAAATAATATTTCCATTTTCCATGTGTTTGTGATACTGCATTTTTTATATACTAAATTCCCATTCTTTTTTTAAATCCTCACCTGAGGATATATTTTTATTGACTATAGAGTTGGGAGAGGGAGGGAGAAACAGAGAGAGAGAGAGAGAGAGAGAGAGAGAGAGAGAGAGAGAAAGAAACATCAATGTGAGAGAGAAACATTAATAGGTTGCCTCTTGTATGCACCCTGACCAGGGAACGAACCCACAACCTTTTTCGGTGCATGGGATAATGTGCCAACCAACTGAGCCACCCATCTGGGGCCTAAATTCCCATTCTTAACAGCATCTTTTTCTGGGTTATGTACATTATATCACTGATCTGTTGATTGCTATATCCTCCTTAAAATGGAGTGCAATTTAGTTTTCGAGTCCAGTCTTAGGAGTGGTCATACATTTAGCATTATAGAGTAGAAGACAAGTAGCCAAGCCATTTGACCTGTTTCCCTTTCTCTCAGTGTCCTTAAATCCAGGGTGGGGCAAAAGTAGTTTTACAGTTATGAGTATGAAAAATAATATACTAACTAATAAAGAATACAAGGATAAACTCTGTGTTTCACCTTCTCACAAATGTAAACCTACCTTTACCCCACCCTGTATTTGGTCTTTTTACTTTCCATATCTGTGGTCTGAAAAGGAAAGGGCTGCTCATTCGTTTCCTCAGAGTCACCTACATTTATTTCATTCTAGAAGCCCAGTGCACAAAATTCGTGCACTGGTGGGGAGGGGGGCGTCCCTCAGCCCGGCCTGCACCCTCTCCAATCTGGGACCCCTCGGGGGATGTCCGACTGCCGGTTTAGACCCGATTCCTCTTGCAATCCGGGACCACTGGCTCCTAAATCAGTGGTTCCCAAACTTATTTGGCCTACCGCCCCTTTCCAGAAAAAATATTACTCAGCGCCCCCTGGAAATTAATTTTTTTAAAATTTTAATAGCAATTAAACAGAAAGATATATGTATTAATGTTTCTACCTTTTTCGTAAAATATAGTAAAGAAAGGTGTAAATTAGAAACATTGAAGTTTGAAATTAAGAAACTATTGAACTCAGAATAGAAAGGTAATACAAAAAAAGTTAAAACAAATGCACCTGTGGCCATCACCGCCCCCCTGGATTGCTGCAGCGCCCACCAGGGGGCGGTAGCGCCCACTTTGGGAATCACTGTCCTAAATGCTTGCCTGCCTGCCTGCCTGCCTGATCACCCCTAATCCCTCTGCCTGCCTGCCTGATCGCCCCTAACCACTCTGCCTTCCTGCCGGCCTGATTGCCCCTACCTTGCCCCCCTGCCAGCCTAATCACCCCCACCTTGCCCTCCTGCTGGCCTGATCACCCCTATCTTGACCCCCTGCCAGCCTGATTGTCCCTAACTGCCTCTGCCCCCAGTCTAAGCCACAGTCTGGACTCCCTCTGCCGGAGGCTACCTGGCCGATTGGGAAGGTGCCACACCCATCACCCTTCTGCTGCTGCCATTGGCGGGCCACCATGGCTGCTTGAGACTCGGGTCTCGCAGCCACATGCAGCTGCCTGCGCCTCGGGCTGGCCCTCCCAGTGGCAGCCGCCATCGGGGCTTGCCTGAGCCTCAGGCAGCCGCTGCAGCTTTGTCTGGAAGGATGTCCAGAAGATGTCCACCCTAATTTGCATGTTACCCTTTTATTAGTATAGATTTCTGTTATGCAAAATGATTATGTTAACCTGGAATACCTAGAAGTGGTGGGTTTTTAGCAGCTTAAGCATTCTAAGAATAGTTCTTTCTTCTGCCAGATATGCGCTGTTTTGGTGGTGTACCTCTTGTGTCCTTGGGCAAGAAGACAGTGAAACAACCAGTATATGTAAGTACTGTGAATGAAGGTTGACCAGTTTTCTGGTTTTATCCTAATTCTGTAACTCTTGTCATTTTCTTCTTTGTCAGTTTGCTTCAACTGGTTGCTTTTCAGTTTACCTAAGAGTGACATGAATTCTCTGTGTCTTGTTCGTTCATTTAAGGAAAATGTATTGAACCCTTAATGTACTAGGCCAGGGGTGGGCAAACTTTTTGACTCGAGGGCCACAATGGGTTCTTAAACTGGACCGGAGAGCCGGAACAAAAGCATGGATGGAGTGTTTGTGTGAACTAATATAAATTCAAAGTAAACATCATTACATAAAAGGGTACGGTCTTTTTTTTTTTTTAGTTTTATTCATTTCAAACGGGCCAGATCCGGCCCACGGCTGTACTAGGCCCACTGTACGTGTCATGGGGGATATAGAGATATTAACTATATATACACACAAATTGCTCTCCTCGAGTTGGTCTCCATAAGAGACATATTAGCAAAGCAATGATCATGCAGTGTGATAAATGCTGTGACTGGGAGAGAGATTTATAGGGTTATGTGAGAGGGATACCTAATCTAGACTTGATGGTCAGGGAAGGCCTCCAAGAGGAAATGACATATCAGGTGAGACCTTAAAAATGATTAACAGTAAGTCAGTTGAAGAGGCTGGAGAAGAGTATCCTATGCAGAGGGAACAGTGTGTACAGGAACCCAGAGGTGAAAGAGCATGTTGGGTTTCATATTATATTGAACTAGGATTTCTCACTCATCTGTGGCACTATTGACATTTTTGGCCAAATAATCAGTTCTTTGTTGTAGGGGCTATTGTAGCTGTATTCCTGGCTTCTGGCCACCAGATGGCAGTAGCATCCCCTACCAACCCCCCAGTTGTGACAACTAAAACTGCCTCTAGGCATTTGCCAAATGTCCCTTGGGTGTCAAAATCACCCCAAGCTGAAAACCATAGATTTGAAACTATATAAAATTATTATTTTTTAAAGTCATATTGGTAGAATTATAGGCCAGTCCATGTGGTTTAGCCTAATAGTTTGAGATAGCTTAGTAACAGAGGAGCTTGGAGTCGTGGTGGGCAAAAGCACATCAGGAAGGCCTGACAGCCATCTATCTATCTATCTATATATATAAAAGCCTAAGCGACCGAACGACCCAATGACCGATCGACTGGTCGTTATGATGCTCACTGACCACCAGGGGGTAGACACTCAACACAGGAGCTTCCTCCTGGTGGTCAGTGCACTCCCACAGCGGGAGCGCCGCTCAGCTGACCAATGGGCACCAGACCCTGGGTTCATGATTGGCAAGTGCAGCTGCAGCGGTGCAAGCCTTTCCCGCCTCCGTGGCAGCACTACTAAGCAGCGGCAGGTGCAGCGGGGCTGAGATTAGCGGGAGCGGCGCCCGACCTGGGCTCGGGCTCCTCCCCAGCCGCCTGCTGTTTCGTGCACTACTACATTCCTCAGGGATGTCAGACTGACTGCCAATTTCGGCCTGATCCCCACAGGCCTGGCTGAGGGACCCAACTGGTGCACAAATCCGGCACTGGACCTCTAGTATAAAGATAAATACCTTTGACTAGAAAAAGTATTTTAAAACTTACAATGTGGAGATGGTTTGAGCTCTTAAATCTGTTCTTCAATAAGTTTTTGAAAACAGACATGCCATTATTTTAATTTTATCATGGGTTTGTCTCTCTGTGTGTGATTGATGTGACCTTCTTTCCTTCTCCCCTCCTTCCTTCCCTCCTTTTTTCCTTTCCTGCCTCCCTTCTTTCTTCTTTTTCTCTCCTGAATCTCTATTTCCCTCCCTCTCTTTGTCAACAATCACCTAAACATGTGTTATAATTTCTTATAGGTTGTAGATGTATCGAAAGGAATTGTGAATGCAGTTAAGGAGCCAGATGCCAGAGGGAAAACTTTTGCCTTTGTTGGGTAGGTGGTTAGAGTTTGACTTTAAAATTGTGTTACCTGTTAAAATGAAGGACTCATCATAATTCACAGCAACAATTTCAAAACATGTCACTCACTAACAGATTTATTCATTGCATTTTTATAGTTTCTTTCTTCTATGTATTTATTCCAGAAACCTACTCCCTTAGCCCTTAGACCAGTGTGTCTCAAAGAGTTGTCCAAAGGCCATCTTATCAGAATCTTCTGAATGCTTATATTAAACCAGAATGTGAAGGAACCTGGGAATCTGCTTTTTAATAAGTGATTTTTCTGTCACTAAAGGCTGACAACCACTTCCCTAGAGAATTATATTTACGTAGTCCCGTGACCACCACAGATGGTTTTGTATCACTCTAGTGATGTTTTTAATATATAAAAGGATATTACTGTAAATGCTAAAACACAAAATACTTTTAGGGAGTAAGTACAGTTGCAAAATCAAATTAATGTTGCTAGAGTATCTTAATGCCCCCAAAAGTTGAAAATGGCTGGTTTAGGGAACATTTGTTAACACTGTGCAAGACTGATCTTTTGTTATATGCTCTCTTTGTTGAAGTTTGCTCTCCAGAAAAATGGGGCACAGTTTAACTGACTTTCCTGAAATTGTTAAATTATGACATAGATAGGTTTAGAACCTTTATACTGAATTGACTAAGTCTAAAAAACTAAGACTTAATCTGTCAAGTTCAGAAGTACCAGATCCATCTAATAATTGGCTCAGAACCCCATCATTTTGTGAAGAAAACTAGTGGTACCTGATGTTTTGTGACATGTGGGGATCTGATTCAACAATGAAGGGATAGCCTAATTCCTAAGAAATATTTGATTCTACAAAAAAGACACTTTTCTCTCTCAACCAGATGCATAGTATTTATTTCCAGGATTATGAATTCATACATTTTTATGTTTCACTATTATTACAAGTTTAATTTAGTTAAAAATGGTTTTTTGGTGCATGAAAAGACTGTAGTGTGTTTCCATGTCAACCAGCTGCTGCAGGATGTATGTCTCTCTTCAAATTCCCAGTTTGGTACATTAGCATGCAATTATATGACCTAGACTAGAAAAATCACTTACAAAAAGATGTGTTTAGCACAGGTTTTGTAAAACACAAGATTCAAACACATCAGGCTTTAGTTAGGTACTTAGAGCAGGCTACTAAGGAACAGATGAACAGAAATGATTTTACAAACTTTGCTTGCCTACTGCTCAGTGGGGATGACTCTGGGATAAGTTAGCCATTTTCTGTGGTTTGCCCTGCCCCTTCAGTCTCTTTGCTAGGCTCTGGTAAGTCATACTTGTTTGGCACAGTGATGGGTCAAGTAATGCTAGACTTGGCAATGTAGGCATTTTTCCTTGTGAAATTATAAAAATGCATCTATATTTCTCTTTTGCCTCTTCAGTTCCAGGGGAAAACTTTGCTTGTTTCCTTGACACTTTGAGGTTAAGGCATAAGCAGAAGACCTGAATTTTGCTTCTAGTTTTTTCATAGTTACTAATTATATGATACTGGCCCATTCTGCTTATTCATTTAATAACTACCTATAGACACACACACACACACACACACACACACACACACACACACCTGTGAGAACTGATAAGTTCAGCAGACCATAAGGTATAAGATCAGCACGTAAAAAATCAGTTTTCTATGTTAGCATATGAACAATCTAAAATAAAATTAAGAAAATAATTTTATTCAAAATAGCATAAAAAAGAATAAAATACTTAGGTGTAAATTTAACAAGAGAAGTAGAGACCTATACACTGAAAATTATAAAACATTGCTAAGGGAAGTTAGGGAAGACCTAAATAAATGGAAAGACATCTCATGTTCATGGACTGGAAGAATCAATATTGTTAAAATGACAATTTCCCCAAAACTGTTCTATATTTTCAACTTAATCCTATCAAAATTCCAGCAGGCTTTTTTTGTTGTTGCAGATACTGACAAATTGATTCTAAGTCTACATGGAAATGCAAAAGAAGCAGAGTAGCTGAAACCATTTTGACAAAGAATTATAAGGTTGTAGCAGTTAAGCTTCTTAATTTCAAAACTTACTATAAAGCTGCAATTATCAAGTGTGGTACTGGCATAAAAATAGACATATAGGTCAGTGAAACAGACTTGATAGTCCAGAAGTAAACCTTATGGATGGTTGCTTTTTGACAAAGGTGCCATAACAATTCAAAGGGGAAAAGATAGTCTTTTTAACAAATGGTACTGGTATATCCAAATGCAAAAAGATGAACATTGACCCTTACTTCACACCATACATGAAAAAAATTAAGTCAAAATATATCAGAGACCTAAATGTAAGTATTAAAATTTTTGGACTATAAGTAAAAATCTTTTAGACCTTGGGTTAGGCAAAGATTTTTTTTAGATATGACAAAAGCATACTTCATAAAAGAAAAAATGGATAAATTAGACTTAATCAAAATTAAAAACTTTTGTATTTCAAAAACACTGTTAAGAAAATGATAAAAAGACAAGTGAGGACATCATCACTGAAAGGATGGGGTGGATCAGAGAGGTGTCTGGAAAGTCTGATGACACAGAAGAGATGGAAGTACTCCCTAGGACAGTGATGGCGAACCTTTTGAGCTCAGTGTGTCAGCATTTTGGAAAAACCCTAACTTAACTCTGGTGCGGTGTCACATATAGAAATTTTTTGATATTTGCAACCATAGTAAAACAAAGATGTATATTTTTGATATTTATTTTATATATTTAAATGCCATTTAACAAAGAAAAATCAACCAAAAAAATGAGTTCGCGTGTCACCTCTGACACGCGTGTCATAGGTTCGCCATCACTGCCCTAGGAGAACAGGAAAAGGGCACTCCTAGGAGAGAATAGTACGATTGCACAGCAACGCTGAGTCTTCCATTTGAAGGTAGTGATCAAAAACCAAAGGTGAAGCCCATTCACCCAGTTGCACTTTCTCTACATCTCTGTCTTGCTGGTGGTTTAGGCACTGAGAAGGTGAATATTTGGGTTAACCAGAGTACGGGTTTTGCTACACCAGTATAGTGGAGAGGAGGCTGGAGACAAGGTTTTGCTGAGGATATTTGCAAAGGAATGACCATGAAATCTAAGCTGAGAAGGAGACAGGCTTCAGTGTACCTTTGTGAGCAGGGGCATTTAAACCAGTCTTCAAGTCACTGTTAATGGAACACAAAGTGCTTTAGAAGAGTTGAAAAGGAAGTATGCTACGTATTAGTTTGCCCATGAGTCCAGTATTGCTTGGCATCATAAAGATTACGGGTTGTTCTTTGGCACAGCATATATTATATGCCCTGCAGTGATCTTCACATCCTTTTAGATTGGAAGAGCGCTATTTAAGGGCTTTGTCCCCTAGCTGAAATTTTCTGTCTTTTTGTTTTATTTTTTGGGTGAAAATATCAGAATAATGAGGTTCTCACTAAATTCCTTTCATTTTGCTCAGTTATCTCAGGCTTTGTGATGCAAAAGGGATTAGAAAAGTAGGTGAAGAGATATTAAAATGTATTACAAGCAACAATAATTATTAAAGCGAGGTTATACTGGTTCAAAACTATTCAGATCAGGAGAATGGAATATAAAGTCCAGAAAAAGTCTCAAGTATATGTAAGAATATGGTATGTGATAAAGACAACATTTAAAAATATGGGGGAAGGTTAGATAATTCAGTAAATGGTGTTATATCTTTATAATAATACAAAAATATATTGCTGAAGGAACTGATGTTATGGATTTAAAAATAACAACTTATTGGTAGAAGTATTAGTAAAGATATATGGAAAGTTATGTCACTGATGATTATAGAGGAATTTTCTAAATACAAAGCCAAACCATAAAATAAAAGAAATCAGTAGTTTTAAGTGAAATGTTTAGACTTTTATATGCCACAAAACACCTAACCATTAAAATGTAAAGAATAAACAATAAAAGATATTTCCAACTCTATTATTAAAATATAAAGAACTCTTAACAAATCATTCTTATAGACAGGGACCCCAGGAGGAAAAAAGGAAGTGTAAATGACCAAAAATATATAAAGAAAAAAATTAATCTTTAGTATTAAAATAATGCTAATTAAAACTTTGAGGTACCTTTTCTTACCTGGCAGATTGACAAAATTTTGTTTATTTTTTATGACTAAATTCATTTTTGGTAATGGGGTTACTAGCATTTTATGTAAATTGATATAACCTTTTCGGAAGGCAGTTTGGATACCTACACTAATAAAAGACAAACATGCAAATTGACCGTACCTTTGCTACACCTTAATCCACGCCCTCCAGCCAATCAGAGCAACTATATGCAAATTAACCCAACCAAGATGGCGGCTGGCAGCCACGGAGCTGGAGCAAGCAGGAGGCT